AATCCCCCAGCACCACATGCCAGCCAGCCCCGCCCCCTGGTGGGCTGAGCTGGCCACACACACACACACACACACACACAAATAAATAAAAAAATAAATGAAATAAATTGCGGGTCTATTCTTAAAAAAAAGAAAAAAAGAAAATATAGTGAACTGGGTGTGGTGGTGCATTCCTGTAATCCCAGCACTCAGGAGGCTGAGGCAGGAGCATTGTTTCCAGTTCAAGACCAGCCTGGGCTACAAAGTGAGGTCAAGGCCAGCCTGAACTGCATAGTGAGACCCTGTCTCAAAAAGACAAGAAAGAGAGAGACAGAGACAGAGACAGAGACAGAGACAGACAGAGAGAGAGAGAGAGAGAGAGAGAGAGAGAAACAGAAACGAGAAGAGAAGAGAAGAGAAGAGAAGAGAAGAGAAGAGAAGAGAAGAGAAGAGAAGAGAAAGAAAATACAATGGTCTTTTCTATCAAGAGTGAAAGTAAGGGTCTGGGGAGGTGTCTCAGTAGAATAAGTGCTTCCCTAGCAAGTACAAGGGCCTGAATTCAATCCCCAGTTCAGCCAAAAAAAAAAAAAAAAGAGTGAAAGTGAACTGGGCATAATGGTGCCTGTCTGTAATCCCAGCACTCGGGAGCCTGAGGCAGGATGTTGTGAGCCTGAGGCCAGCCTAGGCTACAAAGTGAGCTTAAGCCCAGCCTGAACTGCACAGTGAGATCCTGCCTCAAAAAAGACAAAGAAAAAAAAAAAGTGAAAGTGGGCTGGGATCCATACACATGTGGAAGAGGATACGTGTCTGTGGGTACCTCCTAGGCACTGCTGGTGACCACAGGAGAAAGACAAGTTCCACACACACCCTAGCAGGGACCTGGGCAGGGGATTGCAGGTGAACCACCCCTTCAGTGGTACCAGAGAGAAGGGCTGATGTGACACTTTATGAACTGACCAAAAATTCTCCAAAAAATCCCACTGTGTATACTGCTTATGTTGTTTTTGTTGCTTAAAAACAGAAAGAAAGAAAAAAAATCAGGCCAGGGAGATAGCTCAGTAGAATAAGCGCTTGCCTGGCAAGTGCAAGGGCCTGAGTTCAATCCCCGGTTCCACAAAAAAAAAAAAAAAAAAGAAAACGAAAACGAAAAAACCCGCCAAGCTGGAGATGTACCTCAGTGGGAGAACACTTGTCAGTCCCTAGCACTGCAAAAAATAAAATTTGAGATGAAGAAAAACTCCACGCATACAACTCCACACATTGATCATTTCTGCATAGAATCCCCTCAGAAGGGTATATAAAACACTATTAATTTAGGCAGGAACTCGTTGACCAGGGACAGAGCAGAGAGGGAGATTTCTCAACATACCCTCTTTCATATATTTTAAGCTGTATGAATGTATTATCTATTCCAAAATAATAAATTACAAAAAAAAAAAAAAAAAAAAAGGAAAAGAGAAGAACGGCCTGGGAATTCAATCTGCTTCTAGCAACCTGAGGTCACAGGGAGAATCTGTTAACCCATCTGATGTAGCACTGGGCTGAGCACACACTGCAGAAACTGCAGCTGTTAACAGCACCTCTTAACCCCCAGTTCCTTACTCTGCAAACCAGAAGCCTGAACCGCACTAGGAATGAAAGGACAGTCCGTGTCTTACAAGCAGCCCTGTCTGAAACGCTCCCATGCGGCTCTTTCCCGTCTGCTCCTTTGGCGTTTAGGATAAAGAGCGGAAGACACTTCCTCGGAGTCAGCTCCCAAGGGCTTCACAGAAACACATGGGCTGAAGGCCCGGGAAGACCACACCAATTCCAGGACTCAGCATGTGGGAGAAGCCCCACATCAGCGACCCGGGAATGTGGAATGAAGTCTAGGCGTGGCGTTCATAGGTCCCTAAACTGCAAAGCTTAGTTCTGTTGCCAGATAAAATAGCACATTTTCACCAGATAATAGAGCTTTTGCTTTCAAACTTTAGTCTCTTCCTAGTACCTCTTCTTGTCCCCAGCCCTAGGGATAAAAGATAAAGGAAAGAAGATACCGACCTCTGCCAGGATTTAGCCTCCCAACCTTGAGAACAGGAAGTTCAAGCTACTAAGGTCTCCTGGGAGGCATTCTGCAGAGACAGCCAGATCCCTTAAGCCTCCCAGTCCCCAGCCTTAGGAGGAAGCCGAGAGTTAAAGCACCCTTACAATTTCTGCAGCTCTAGTAACCGACGGCGCCGTTCACTCTGTTCCAAGGAGCTATACTTGGACTTGTACTGGGACAGGCGAGGGTGAGGGGTGGC